GCCCCGACCGCTCCGCGGGCTGCTCAGAGGCAAGAAAGTAAGTCTCCAGGCAGGTAGAAAAGCGCGGGCTTCAGGGGTCCTTTTTTTTCCCCCCTTCCCGACTTCCTTGCTTTTTCTCATTCCTAACTTCCCCCTTAGCTTTCTCCGCTTCTCCCCTCCCCCTCTCTCCATCCCCTCCCCCTCTCTCCGTTCCTCTCCCCTTCCCCCTCCCCTCTCCCCTCCATGTGTGTTTTCTTTAAGTCTTTTTGGGGGGCGTGTCAAGAAGGGAGGGGCGATGTTAAAAAAAATTCTCAGTGTAGACTACAACAGCTTAGGTTTTAAGGTTTTTTTAAGGAAAAAAATTGTACAATATGTGTGTTTAACTGTAATTAAAGAAAATGCATAGTTCACTATTTCCTGATAGCATCACATTTCTTTAGGCATGTTACTACTTGTCTTCGGTATTAAAATTTTACTTTGGAATAAATGCCAGCCGCTTAATAGGATAGTTTTCGATGCTAATTACATTTTCAAGAATTGAAATATCAGTAGGAAAATACCACATTTAGAGCAAAGTGGAAGAACATCCTATTGTTGGTCTCTCTCGAATTGACTGATAGAAATTTGCTGATGTATTAATACTTTTTTACACATAAAATTAGTAAGAAAGAATTAGGGGACACTATGGAGAATTGAGATGAGTTCTCCAGACTACTTATTGACCATCCCTGTTTGGGGAATTCCTGCACCATATGTGTGAAGGGAGAATGAATCTTGGACCCAAATTTAGGAAATTAGCAGTAACTCCATAATTCCCTAGTAATTCCCCAAACTCGAAAAAGGAATTATATTTTCTTCTGGATGCTTCCGAAATAACCTCCATATGACAAAGTAGAGATTTTTCTCTCAGTATACAGCTGTTCTTGTGTTTTATTTTGTCTTATTCTAAAAGATTCATGTAAAAGAGTCTTTACAGATTATCTGTAGGGCAAAGCAGTAAACTAAAGCAAACATTGAGTGACTTAATTGTATTAATTTGTTTAATCTACACAATAAACTTATGAAGTTGGTATTTTCATTGCCATTTTATATATAAAGAAACTGAGATACAGGAATGTTAAGTAACTTGAACAGATTGTCCAGCTAGTACGTGTTGAAACTAGGCTTTGAACCCAGGGAGTCTGGCACTCCATACTTTGTTTCTACACCACCTTGCCTTCCTGTAAGTTTTGCTTTTCTCTTTATGACCTGTCACTATAGATTTCAAATTATTTAAACTTCTGTGGGAGTTGAAACAATAGTACCACAGATACTGAAGGAAATCTAAGGTTCTAAAATAATCTAGAGTTCATTAGCTTCTAATGTACTTGGCAGTGTCTAAAACTTTGAAACTGTTTTCAGCTATATCTATTATACAGTAGGGCAGATTATTCACACTTAAATTCTATCACATTTGTTAAGATCAGATGTTTTTTCATCAGCTATACAGCTGCTGAGTTTTGAAAGAGTTTTTCAAACTCCCAAACCCACTGAATACATGTGGCAAGATGCTATACCTTCTGTATTTAAGCTAAATGTGTACAGATACTTTGTATATCTTAATATTAGATTTAGCCCTGTTGTCTTTTTAAAATTAATAGTGTCCCAAATGAACTTAAAATTAAAAAAAACCTGCTTTGGAATATTTCACAATAAACTCTCATTCTTGGTCATTTTCTATGCCAAGAAAATACCCTTGTTTACAGTAGTTAATACTATGATTGTCCATGAAGCTATATTATCAATAAGGTTTAGCAATGTAATGAAAACTGAACTCTGACCTAGCAGCATTGTTTTAATTTTTATTAAGAGCTGTATAAACACATGCATGAATAATAGTAGTGATATTACTATCACTTGGCAGAGAAATTTAAGCTATATTCCTCCATATGATGTCACGCACACCTCTAAACATTGACTGAGGTTTAGGAATGAGGTTGGCAAAAACACATTGCAAATTTTAATATGTTAAGGATCATTAACTTCATTGTGTCAATTTGTTAAAGTGCCAAGTAATGATTTTACAAATAATTAGACTTTAATAGGCAGAAACTAATTTATGTTCTTCTTGCTTTTATGATGCATGTAATGATAGATGTACTATCACACAAGCTGTTGTTTTTAGGTACACAACATCTCTTATAATGTCTTAAAAAAATGAAATATTGCATGTCAGTAACTGATCAGTGACTGTATAAAATACATTAATGGCTTTTCTTCTTTTAGCTACTTTTAATTGATGCTCATTCATCATGGCTTAGAAAGATGGAATGTTTTCAGACTTTTCTTATTGGAAAATGGCAGTGTACCTTTAAAGTTAAAAGCACAAGACAATAGTTCCAGGTTAGTAAAATTATTTTTATAATGGTTGAGATTTATATACACTTGAGTTAGTTCCTCCTCCTCTCTTTTAAATATGTTTCTTAAAGACAAATTTCAAGAAGATTTTTTAAAAGGTGTCAAGTTTTTTACCTGTGTGTTTTTGTAATATCATGGCCTAATGAGAAAAACCCCTTCTTTGGATTTTTGGTTTGTTTTATTTTTTAATAATTTCCTTCTGGACTGCTCTATGCCATGGCCATCAATTTTTACATGTTGCAGACAAATTTCTATAAAAGGATTAAAATTAATGGCATTCCAGGCCTGACAAGTGATAAGTTCCAAAATGAGGAAAATAATTGAATAACAAGCTCTCAAATCTTTATACTGAGAAGGGCTAGTTCATAGTTTTAATTAGAAAAAAAAGTAATTATTAACATACATTTATACATTTTTAGTTCACAATTTTAGCTAAAGCTATACAATTTAATGTACTCTTTTTTTTTTTTTTTTTTTAAAGGGCTATAAGGATTCTTTTAAGCTCAGAATGTGAAAGAGCACCCCGGAATTAGGTAAGATTGTTCCAGAGAGGTAGTCAGGTCTACTGGGCTAGAAGCCAGAGATGTAATTTCCTGGTTCTCTTCTAACTTTGTGCCTACAGTAAGGAAGTTATTAGAATGTTTGAGAACACTGAGGTACTGTCAAGTTTCCTGTGGCTAAAAGGAGACAACTGGCAACACAACTTTATGTTACTTTATAGGTGGTACTGTAGCTCTCTCTTTTTTTTCCCCGAAGATGGTTTGAGAAAGCAAGATAGGTTATTAAGATTAATATACTCACATAACATGAAATCCCCACTTCAGATTTTTATATTCATATTATTATGAATTGCAAATTTCTCAAACTTTTTTTCAAAATTGTCAGCAAGTTGATATTTATGTTATTAAATGTTAACTTTTTATTCTGCATTTTAGGACGAAATTGGGAGACTCCTCTCTTTGAGGAGCCAGTGAGTGAAATGTTTGCAACCAGTCAGAGAAATATTTCTATAGATTCTCTCTACTTTCTACTAAAGGCAAGATGCAGAAATGGTCAGATATAACCTGAATGGGTTTCTTGGCCCTTCAATAGTAAAATATCTCTAACTGTTGAACTTTATATTAGTCAGGGTTTTCCAGAGAAACAGAAGCTATTAATAGGATGTGTATGTTATGTATAGAGACAGGACTTGGGTACACAGTGAGAGAGACAGAGATTTATTTTAAGGAATTTGGCACATGTGATTGTGGGACTGGCAAGTCTAGATTTTGCAGAGCAGGCCTACAAGCTGGTGACACAGGGACATGTTGATGTGGCAAGAGTTGAGGCAGTCTGGAGGCAGAATTTCTTGCTTCTTCAGGGACATCAGTCTTTTTCTCTTAAGGCCTTGAACTGATTGGGTGAAGCCCACCCACATTTTGCAGGATAATCTACTTTACTCAAAAGTCTACTTACTTTAATGTCAGATTTATCTAAAAAATACCGTCACCCAATATTTAGAATGGTTTTTGAACAAATATCTGAGTACTCTGGCCTAGCCAAGTTAACACATAAAACTAGCCATCACAAACTTCAGTTGACCTTTGAACAACGCAGGTTTGAACTGCACAGGTCCATTTATATGTGGATTTCTTTTTCAGTAAATATATAGTTGTCCCTTGGTAGGCCTTCCATATTCCCAGGTTTTGCATCCATAGATCCAACAAACCACAGATCAAAATTTCCATCCATGGTTGGTTGACTATACAGATGTGAAACCTGGAGATACACAGGGCTGACTGTATTCATTGTACTACACCATTTTACATAAAGGAGTTGAGCATCTACAGATTCAGGCATTTGCTGGGGCTCCTGGAACCAAACCCCTATGGATACCAAAGGGCAATTGTATTTCAAAATTTC